TAGGCTGGGTTATGCAGCAGTGACAAGCAACACCACATCTCAGTGGCTTACTACAGACAGCTGTAACCAGAGTTCACTTGTCACTCATGGTAAGACTTCAGGGGGTTCTGGCAACTCTTCCAGGGCAGCCTTCATCTTGTAGTTTCCATATCACACGTGCTTATGTGCTGCTTAGGCAGTGAGTGACACTTGTTACTCATCACTTCAGCCATGATTCGTTGGCCAGAGCTAGGTGTGGGAAGGTGGGAAGGTGGGAAGGTGGGGAGAGGGAGGGAGATTAGCCATCCTCCCCACATGCTTGGAAAGAGGAGCCTGTGGGACAGAGTGAGCCTGAGATGGATGGAGCAGCCCCACTGGGTGAGCACAAGCCAGGGCCCACAGCACTGCTTATGACAGGCAGCCTAAGTTTGTCACCCCATCCTTTAAACCTTCCTTTGACACTTCCTGGGACAGTGCCGTGAGGAAGTAATGCATCTGGTCAGCTTGGGGGCTTTCCAGGCTGTGCCCCAAGGACAAATGAGAGCTGCCCTTCTGAAGACATTAGGAATCTCCCTTATCACGACTCTGGCCATGAGTTTCTGTTGGCACTGTCCCCAAACACTGTTCTGTGACAGATGGTGCTGGGCTTAAGGGAGAGTCATTTAGTATTCCTGAACATTAAGGAGGTTACTGGCAAAAGCTGTATTTCCCAAGCTCAGGTCTCTGCACAGTTTAATTTTCTTTGAATTGGGGGAAGATGTCTGACTTTTATGCCTGAGTTCTGAATTCATCCATTTCCTCTTCCTATCAGTAGAATTCAGGCAAAGAATGGTATTCTGAGGCTTCCTTAAAAACGCAAAATGGGGCTGGGGCTGTAGCTCAGTGGTAGAGCACTTGCCTCGCAGGTGTGAGATCCTGGGTTCGATCCTTAGCACCATATAAAAATAAATAAGTAAAGATATTGTGTCCATCTACAACTAAAAAAATTTAAAAAAAGCAAAATAGAAAAATGGTATAGCTGCTATTAAAAAAAAACAATATGGCAGCTCTTCAGAAACATTAAAAATAGAATTACTACGAGAGCCTGCAGTTCCACCTCCGGGTGTATACTCGAAAGGAYGGAAAATAGGCCATGAGTGGGCACTTGCACACACGTGTTCATGGCAGCGTTGTTCACATGGTCACAAGGTAGCAGCGACCCTGTGTCCATCGGTGGATGAATGGATGAGCAAAACGTGGCAGGCAGCGGAGTGTTATTTGGCCTCAGGAGGAACTGCCCGCACCCCTTCACTGAACCTGGACAGTGTCATGTGGAGGGACGGACAGATGCAGTGTGGCTCCTGGTCTGCCAGGTGCTGGAGTGGCCAGATTCACAGTCAGGAGAAGGGTGGCAGTGGGGAGAGCCAGGGAGAGTCGCTCTTTGGTGGTTACGAAGGTTCAGTTTTGCAAGATRAGGAGAGTTCTGGAGGTGGCTGGTGGTGACAGTGGCACAACACGCCGAGTGGCCCTAACGTCACTGAAGGTAACTTAAAAATGGTTGCCAGGGTAAGTATGTGTATTTTACCCCCTATTAAAAATACCCCAAACTCTAATCAAAACAGAAAACATGAGAGTTTTGCCTGTAGGCACGGCCTCCTGGTCGGCGTGGCTCTTGGAACCAAGTTCTGGTTGGACTTTGCCGCTTCTCTGTACCAATGACGTAACCTTGTTGTCACCATCCATCACACGAAAGGAATTTGCTTTCTAAATTTGAACCCACCCTGGATTCTCCTTCGGGCAGGTGCGGGACTGGCCAGTGGGGGCCTTTGCTCCTCGCTTTGAGGTTTAGAGCCGGCTTCTCTTCTCAGCAGTGGTGGCGTTCTTTCCTTGGCCTCGTCACTAATCACGTTGGTGGGTTGGTGGTGGTGGCCGGTGTGCTGAGCTCCAGCATCTGCTGGTGCTCTTCGTGCCTGTCTTAGGGATGACACAGTAAGCCCAGTCCTAGGGTGTGGTGTCCACCTGAGGGACACTGCCTCAGCCTTCCTTGCCAGCGGGGAGTCCCCTGCAGCCTCCAGGGACATGCYGGCCATGGGGACTTTCCAGGGCGTTGGCCTTTCCTTGAGACCTCTGCATAGTCTTCTCGGGGTAGGAACGCAGATCCGCTTTCTTGCCAACACCGTTTCTAAATATAAACGTTAATTAAGACAGGCTGTTAGAACTTCCCTTGCAAAGGTTGTTCGTGACAGAGGAGCTTTTGGTCACTCTGTAAGTGATCCTGCGTCACTGCATCATATATCATATGGATGCTGCTGTGTGGTCACATTCAGAAAATAGCATGGTCTGCRGCGCCTGGGGGTTACGTAAGGCAGAGGATCGTCAGCGTTGGTGTGGAGGAGCTGGGGCTGCCTGGTGCTCCCCGTCCTGAGGCTGGTCCTTGGGCACTGCCTGCCTCCAGGTCTGCCACACTATCAGTCTCTTTGCTTCCTCAGGTCTGGGTTCTTTGCAAATGAAGACAAAAAACAAAAGCCAAGGTTATTGTCTCATGGCTCTGGACAAAAAAAAAACTCATGGAGAAATGGCATCGTCCGTGAATATGGACTGGGTTTTCCGTCGACCCAGTCACTGTAGATTGTCAGCATGCGTGAAACTAAGTTGTGCATTTATACGTTTACCCTCTGTGGTCCAGAAATTCTGTGGGGGCACATGAAAGCCTGGCTTCAAGTAGGTGTCGTGGGGTCAGGAATAGGCTTCTGGGGACAAACCCCCTGAAGTTTTTGCAGAGCCTGCATTTTTGTAGGGAGAGGATTCCATAGCTCCTGTTAAGGTTTTCAAAGGTATCCTTGTCCCTAAGCTTTTAAGGAACCTTGTGAAATGCTCAGGATATCTGACTACTGTGGGACCGTGTGCCCCATGATTGGGACCTTGGGGTCTGATTGAGGCTGTCACTGGGAGAGAGCAGTGCATACAGAGGATCCCAGGTGGCTCTTTAGAGCAGACGTAGAAACCGTGGCCATTCAGAGAAAGACATGAGCAGAAAGGAAAGGGGAAGCTCAGAACTGATGGGCTGTCGTGGGGTGACCTACAACTGTAATCCCAGTGACTCGGGAGGCTGAGGTAGGAGCATTRCAAGTTCAAGGCCAGCTTCAGCCTCTCAGCAAGACCCTGTCTAAAAATAAAAAATAAAAAGGGCTGGGGATTTGGCTCAGTGGTAAGGTGCCCCTGGGTTCAATCCCCAGTACTGAAAACAAATAAAACCCCGAGAGGTGATGACGCAGACTCCATTTTATTTTAGAATTAATGCACCCTTCACAGGGCTGCTGGGTTCCCTGGCACCTCGGGAGGGAGCCAAGAATGTAGATTCTGGAGCCAGACTTGCCAGGTTCAGATTCCAGGTCTGCCGCTTGGTGGTGCATGGTAGGTACCTTTTCAATACCAGCCATTTGTCGGGCACAGGGGAACATGCCTGTGGTCCCAGCTACTGAGGCAGGAGGATCAAATGAGCTGAGGAGTTCGGGCCAGTCCAGGCAACATATTGAGACCCCATTTCAAAATGACATCAGCTGTTCTGCTGGAGCTGGGTGTTTGTCCTTAGGAACGCAGGGAGTAGGGAGGCACTGCTCTGTTTTTATGTGTGTGTGAGAGCTGTTTGGTCCTTGCCGCCAAAAAGGCTCTTGCCTTTAACATTTGTTTACTTAAGAGCCATTTCAAGTAGATTTTCACATAATAAAAGGTGAAAGAATACTATCACATATCCTTTAGCAAAATGGGACTTTGTTTTTGTTACAAAGTAAACACATGAAATTCGTCCTCTTCATTGAGTACCTACCTGTTCAATGATTTCGTGGATAAGAATATCACATTTTTTTTTTTTGCTAATATATCGTTCAGTCTTTGATCCTAACTACACAGAGGATGTGCTCCTGGGAACCTCATGGTCTGAGATTTTACCTACGTGGTCAATTTTGTCATCACCCTTGAACTTGAAAAACCGCTCTCTGCCTCCCTGAAGTCACATGTGACTTTTATCATAACTGTGAAATGGCTCCTGGCTCAGCCCACTTGCTGCTGCTTTTAAATTTCATTTCATTTCGTTTTTTGCTGTTTTTTGTTGGGAACAATTACAAATCCTCYATGGAACCTATGAACATGACTGCAAAGACTTCTTTTATACCCTCTTGAAAACGAAGYCGTGAGCGCTGAAGGATGATGTCATGGTGCTGGCTTACCTCACTGGTGCACGTCTTTAGGGTCATCTGTCATTTTCCCGTTTCTTTTTTGGGTGTGTGTGTGTGTGTGTGTGAGTGGAGGCACTAGGATCGAACCCAGGCCCAAGCATGTCCACTCAAACATTGAGCTACACCCCATGCTGGTGTCTCAGATTTTTAAAAGGGTCCATTGAACYCAGGGAAGTAACAAGGTAGAATGAATTCTTGGAAGATTTCCAAGAAGGAATCAAAGTCACAATCTAGCAATTCCCACAAACAGGTAGAATTGCTACAGAAAGAAACTAATTGGACAAGTGGGCCCTGCTGTTAGCCGGGGCARTCATGCTTCCAGTAAACCAGGGGAAGGAGGTGATCTGAAAGGCAGGCACAGGGGGACACAGTGCTCTTTGCTAGGTTTTGATTACTAAATAGGAAAGAAGATAAGTGTGTGACAGAGTCATAGGGTAGTTACGGCCCAGCAGTATGCCAAGGTCTCATAGTAGTTCAGAGTTTATGAGAATAGGGTCATGGTGAACATTAAGTTTAGAGAGTATAATACCATTGTATAGCGTGAGATCAGCTGTGTGAAAATATATCAAAATATCGGTAGCAACTGCATAAAATATCCCCCCCACCGTGGTGAGATATGTAATTTTTAAAWGTCATTATCTCTACTTTTATCTTCCGTGGTCTATAACTAGCCTGTGAGTTTTTAGACACAGCAAATGTTTTTTGTGATGTTGAAGTCAGTGTTTTTTTTTCAAAAATGCTTTCATTGCGATGTAATGGTGACCCTGTGTTGATTCACCTGTTTTGCTGGGTGTTCTTTTCTCATAGAACTGGTTCCTTCGATTATGAGCAACTTGCTGAATCCAGATGCCATTTTCTCCAACAATGAAATGAGCCTGTCGGACATCGAGATCTATGGCTTCGATTACGATTACACCCTGGTGTTCTACTCCAAGCACCTCCACACCCTGATATTTAATGCCGCTCGGGACCTTCTCATCAACGAACACCGGGTGAGGTCACAGGGACTTTTCAGTCTCCTTTCTCTTTTTTCCCTTAGATATTTGAAGAGCAAACAGCCTTGAGTGGATATGCCCCAGGTCTAGTGCTTAGAAGTAGTTTAGTAAATTTTTCTGAATAAATGTGTAGCTGTCTTTTCGTCCCAGATTTCCAAGTGACCTTATCTAGAAGATAGTTGAATTAAAACAAACAAACAAAAAAGTTCTGATGTCTCTTTGGACAGGAGCGAGTGTCAGTTGGGTCACAGCTGTGGCTGTCTTCACCTTGCTGTCACAAGGCATGGCTTTTGCCAGTGCTTGGGAGGAGGCAGCCTGTTAAGTCCTGGCTGACTCCTCAACAGTGGGTGAGGTTCACCTCCATGCTGGTTTGAATTGCTTTCTTAGGTGAAGAATGCTGTCTGATGCACAGTGTTTTGAGAGCTTTTAATGAGAAGAAAACACTGGGCACCTAACGTTCTTCTTCCCGGTCTGGTGTGGGGATGCTTCCACAGTGGGGAAGAGAAGCCTTGCAGAGCTGGTCAAGGCCRGTCCTCTTTGAGAAGCCCCCACATCCTCCTGAGAAGTGTGGCCAGAATCTTCTTGGACTGGAGTGTGTAGCTCCGGAGTTTCTCTCTAATTCTGGCAAGTTCTCCCACAGGTTGACTAAGTCTGCCTTCGTCGGGCTTTCACTATCCATCTCTCCGTTCCCTTCCCTCCCTCCCGTCCTCCATCCCTCCCTCCCTTCCTTCTTTTCAACATTCCATAAATCTTTGTTCTGCCTCCTCTGAGCCCTGCCCTGCCTTAGAYGCCCAGAGGGTAACGATGAGTAGGACCCAGCTGGCCCGTGGGGAGTCTGTCACACACATGAACCTGGTGGAGGCCTGTGGACACCTACACGGAGCCGAGGCCGTGGGGAGGGGGGATGCTTCCCCTGCCTCAGGGAGTGGAGAAACCAGAGGCGGGTGCTGTAGCCCTGTTTGCAGGCAGAGGTGGGCTGGGGTGGGAGGAGTGGGTGGGCCTGGGTAGCCTACGAACCCGGATCACGAGAATGGATGTTTACATGGACCAAGCACAGGGGACGTGCAGTGGCCTGGGTGTGAYGAAGACCAGCCATTAACCTGCCAAGACTTCTCTCTCCCCAGGTGACGGTGGTGTTCTTTCAGCCGTGCTCATTGGCCCTCTTCCCTTTTCGCTGTCCTGGTGCCCTCTTTGTGCGTGCTCTGGTGTGTCCCGCTCACAGGCGGAGCCCTGGTCTGCGGGTGTGGCTGGGGGGCGGTTTGAAGTGTGGAACCAGGAGACCCCCGCCTCCCTGCTCCCTGCTCCCGATGCCTGGCTCCTGCTAGTGCAGCCCAGGTCCTGTTAGTTTTGGATCCTGACCATTCGGCCTGTATATTTGGGTATCAGCGGATTTAAGCCTAATCCAAAGTGCAGAAACGGCATTTGGCAAAAGTAACCTTTCCTTTTCGCATCAAGCCAACTGCAGTTTTCTTTAGTTCTGGCCACTTTGACAACTGGGTTTCTCCATTTGTTCAAGAGCTTCTCGTCCATCTGAACTGTGGTCCTCTCCCAGGAGCCTGAGGACAGAAGCAGAATAACTAGGTGGTTTGGCCCTGGTTTCTGGGTGTGCCTTCCACCATCTGTCCCCGACCCCGGGAGGTGGAGCTGAAGGGCACTGCATGGGTGCTGGCGTTTGGTTGGCCTTGATGCCGTTTGTGAAATGCAGGGTGTTACCCTGACAGTTCTGTTCATTGATTGTCCACTGAGGGCTGGAAGTGTCCAGGTTYCTGAGAGTGACCGCTGGCTGCATATCCTGCTGTCATCACTCACTTCCTTCATAATCCTGATCCACTCACCCAATGTCTTTGGACTTAGTTTCCYCCTCTGTAAAATTCCCCACAGTGCGACTGTGAAAATTAAATGAGTTAATGTATGTAAAGTGCCTGGCACAGAGAAGTCCAGGAAGTGCCCGCTGTTACCGATAATATTATTTTGACGCTGCCCGGCACAAACAGGTTCTCTAATGTATACATTAGAGAAAATTCTGACTCAGATTTGAGCTACTGTCTCAAAACCACAGGTCAGTGAGAGGCAGAACCAGAATTCAAACTTGGGTCCGTCCATTTCCGGGCGACTTATGTGCTCTCTACTGTGTGCTGCCCCTTAAAGGGTTAATGACACCTGTGTACCCTGTGGGWTTTTGTTCAGATGAAACTAAAATATTCATGATAATAAAAAATTTATGAACATAAAACATTTATGCAGTTTTGGGGGAAAGAGAGATGAAATAGATGGATAAAATAAAAGGTGGAGTTGTGATTGAAAAGCCTCTGGATTGAAGATCATTGAAGTTTCATTCTCATGATGTCTGTTGCTTTGACAAAAAGAATKATATAGTACTAATTATATCAGGCATATTAATAGAGCCAATTATGCTTATGCAGATTTGGTCTTGCTCTGATTAAGCAAAATAATTCTTCTAAGACACAGTGCGCTGGTGCCATTCTGCTGCCAGCGCTGAGGCACGGCACGGCGTGTGCTTGCCGAGGTGGAGACATCTGCTTTTGAGACACACGGTGACAGAACAGTAGATTTGCAATTTAGCATCTTTCCAAAAAGCAARTGTAAAAACGTTCCAGCTTCTTTGTAATTATCCTGTTTTCTTCTTTGGGGGGGGGGAACAAGAAAAGATTTTTATAAAAAATGGAAATCAAAAAATTGGGTCATCGCTGTGCCTACATTTTCATTTCCTAGGTCCACCAAGGAACCGGGGGTGTGAGAAGGGCTCTCGATTTTGTCTCTCCAGTGCACACCTCGTGAGCATCGTCTTCTCACTAGTGGGCACCTGTGGTCACCTGCTTGTTCACATGCAGAGCCTAATGTCCCCTCTGGCTCCTTGTGCTCTGTGTTCCATGTCAGATCTCTCTTTAAAATAAACTTCTAGCTTCAGGACAGTCTTTGGTTTATGGAAAAGTTGCAAAGATAAGACCGAGTTTCTGTTTGTGTACCTCATGTGTGCCCAGGTTCTCATGTCACCGTGGTACGTCGTCCCAGCTGGAGAGTCCATGTTGATGAGTCCAGCTGAAGTCCCTGCTTTGTTCACACTTCCTTAGTCTTTATGCAGCGTCCTTTTCCTGCCCCAGGACCCCGGGAGGACCCTGCGGTGCAGTTAGCCGTCTCCTTAGGCCCCTCTGGGCTCTGCAGTTCCTCTGACCCCCCCTTGTGTGGCCTCTCGGGTTTGTCCCAGGTTTTCCCCATGATAAAACTGGGCTGTGGCTGGGGAGGAAGACCGCAGGGTGAGGTGGGGTCCCCGCTGAGGAGCTTCTGTCATGTTACAGTTCTCCCACTTTGTCCCTTTCCCCACTGTGCTGTCGTGGAGGAAGTCACTGCACAGCTGCGGCTCCTTTTACTCCTTAGAAAGGTCCTCYTCGTGTGTGTCCTCATGCCGCTTCTCCTGCTGTGTGGCTGCCGCCCTGGCGCAGTGGCCTCCTGCCTGGCTTCTCTGCTTCTCTGTCACCTGTGTCCTACCACCAGAGTGAGCCTTCAGACCTGGTCACGCCACCCCTGCACTTGGTCCCCTCCAGCCCCCCATCACCCTGGGCATGAAGTAGGCACCTTACAGTGCCCGCCTCTCGCTCTGCTCCACGACACCAGCCTTGTGCTGCCACCTGGAATGCCCTGGAATGCCCGTCCTGCCCCCTGACAGCCTGAGGCTGGCTCCTCATTCCCAGTGGGTCTGTGACCCTCATACTGCACGTTCTTTGTAGTAGGAATCACTGTGAGGCATTGTGTGTGTGTGTGAGTGTGAGTGTGTGTGTGTGTGTGTGTGTGTGTGCGCGCTCTATGACCTGCCTCCCCACAGCAGGGTGGACTTTCTTAGGGACAGACACTGTCATTTTGTTGGCTGTGGCGTTCCCAGGCTCTGGCACAGTTCTGGATTCCTGGGCTTGATGTTACTGTTTACCGTTGTTCCCAGGAGAGCTCTGTGTGTGTGTGTGTGTGTGTGTGTGTGTGTGTGCGCGCGCACACACACACACACCCCCCCACATATTGGAAAGGGGCTGATTGTGAGAGTGTTTTTGAAGTGACCGGTTGTATGAGGAAATGACAACACAGGAGCAGGAGCAGAGCCTAGAAATCACCCTCTTCGTTTTACAGACGTGGGGAGGAGAGGACTCACCTTAAGGGCTGCTGGAGGGCAGTGGAGGCGGGAGAGTGGTCTTCCCTGCCTGCCGGTCGCAGCCCGCGGAGGTAGCTCCATTTTCCTGAGCACTTGCTCTGTGCCAGGCTCTGCCCTGACTCCCCACAGGCGTTTCTGGACGTGAACTTCTGCACTTCCACAGCTCATGCTGTCTTGACTCTGTAGGCGAGAAAACCAGGAGAGGACTCTGCCCAAGGTCACCTGCTAGCACATGGTGGCCCAGGATTTGGTGCCTCCTCTCAGCCCGTGTTCCCTTGAAGACCTTGTCCTGTCGGTTGCGTCTCTCAGTTCTCGAGGTTGCTGACAGTTATTGTTTTTGGACTATTTGAAAAYTGTCTATTAGGAGGGGCTCCCCAAGAATCACCCAGTGAGCGGAGAGGCTGGGGCAACAGGAGCCTGTGAGGGGCCGTGCCCAGCCGGGGCGCCCAGAGAAGCCTTGTTCAAAGACAGTGCCACCAGACACGTCAGCAGGGGCGGTGTCCTGGCTCAGCTCAGATCCTTCTCTTTGCGGCCGGGAGTCCTTCCAGCAGCTTGGTGAGCCCTCGGAGCTGGCTGGCTCTGCTCTCACCAGGAAGTGACGAGTGTCCAGTGGAGAAGCCTGGACCGGGTTCAGAATCGATTAGGTGGTGGTGAGGGGTGGACGTGGGTGTGGCTTGGCCCCAGGTGGCCCCGGGCAAGTTCTTTGACTCTGATCCTGGGATTCTTCACCAGGAGATCAGGCAGGGGCGTCTGCCTCCTTCCTGCTGGTGTGGCAAGGCGTGGAGTCAGGGTGTCTGGTCTGTGTGCGGCACAGCAGATGCTCAGCCTGGGCTTGTCTTCCCGTGACATTTTAAATGCATCTTTCCTGTCTGACCTTTCTCCTTCATCACTCCCCAGTTTGGAAGGAGGTGTCAGAGGTGCTGAGGTCCTTTGGCTTCCCTTTGATAAGCAGAACTGTGTCACCAGGACTGGGTTCAGCRTGGGCCATGTGTGTCCATAAAGGTGCAGATCCAGACACGGTGTTCGGAATCCTTGGAAACGCCCACCCGTGGAAATATCAGTTTGGTAATTTCTTGGCACAAGTGGTAGGCGTTAGATAAATGAGCCCAAATGTGACATTTGAGTCAGTCTTCTTGGAGCTTGACTTAAAAATATGCCTCATGTGTTCAGCCTGGTGGTACCAGGAAATGTTCTCATACACATGTGACCCTGGCCGTGAACAGGTGGCAGTGTGGCCACAGAAAGGTTTCCTGGGAGTTCCGATGGTTGTCCAGGTTTTTACTCCTACAGTTTACATCCTGATGGGAGAGTGGGGCGACTTCTCTCTGCCTGAGGGCCCAGGGGCTGTGGGAGAGTRGGGCGGAGGCTGAACCTGACTCCCTGCCCTGCTGCTGGGTGGCCTGGGCAGGGTTTCATGGTGTCTCTGATGTCCCCTCTGTAAGACGGTGTGGCAGGATCCGCCGTGGCAGCAGCCGCAGACACAGGGCCTGGGGTCCGGTTTTCGCTCGTAGCTGCTGTTCTAGTTCTGAGATCTGCAAAGGGACTAAAGGACTGGGGTGCCCGGTATGGCAGAGGGGGCGGCCAGCATCTTTCCATGGAACGAGGAGTCACTTCATAACTAGGAAACACCTGGGGAGTGGGCTGCTTTCAGAGGTCCTGTGTGTTCTGAGACAGGGGTGAGCAGGAGCCGCGTGCTGAGCAAGGGGCCCCCTGGTGCAGGTACAGGGAGGGGCCGCACCGCCAGCTCTGGGTTCTCCAGCCGGGAGGTTGGCCGCAGCTGACCGTCCAGAGGTCAGCGATGGAAGCTGAGTGGAGGGTCCCCTCGGAAAGGTCTCATCTGTGTCTCTGCCTGCAACCGGGTGGTGGGGCCATGAGGTTTCCTGGTGTCAGGAGCTGAACGGAGGCAGACGGTGTGTTTGAGGGGACATTCCAGTTCCCCCACCTCAGCAGCCTACACGCAAGGGGAGGAGGTGGTGGGGCAGGGAGAAGCAGATGAGTTTCAGGGGCCTTAGAGATCTGGGAGCCTGGTGGCAGAGGACARGGGAAGTGGGGACAGAGTTAACTTGAGAGAAGATGAAGGAGGGGGATGAAGCTTGACCCCTGCTTGGACAGATAGATAGGGTGCTGGGCAGGACCCAGGGCTCTGCGTGTGGCAGGAGGCACAGAGGAGCAAGCTGTGATTCGTCCCTCTGACCCGCCTTCCTGCCAGAGTGCCTCCCCCCYCCCATCTTTGTACAAGGCCTGATCTGGACGTGACCCTGAAGGCAGAACCTTGTTAGCTGAAACATGTTCCTTTCTTCCTCGCAGTATCCCGTGGAAATCAGGAAATACGAGTACGACCCCAACTTCGCCATCCGCGGACTGCATTACGAYGTGCAGCGGGTAGGTGGCATTCCCCGCTTTCCTGCAGGGTTGCGGTCTTTGCCAAGAAAATGGTCCTTAGTGAGGCGGTGCTCTTGGGGCTGTTCTTTGCTGAGGGATAAATCAGCTTTAAATCATGTTCATTGAGGCTGCGGATCAAGGTGATGCAGACATACTTGGGTAAGATCCTTCTGAAGTGACTCTTGGAGAAGCTTGCCCGCCATTGCGGTGGGAGTGCAGCTTGGTTCCAGTAGTCATTTTTTGGTGTTTGGAGGAGCCAGTTGCTGTATTTGTCTTTTTTTCTTTTGCTGATAAGCCATTTCCTTAGAAAGGAAAAGCCAGCCTTTCAGAATCTGCCTCCTTGCAGGGCATCCTGATGTGGGGAGGAGTCATGAGAACACCTGGGCTGCTCATTGAATGTGCAAGTTGGTGCACGTTATTTACACGTGCTTGTGTTTATATTTTTAAAGGCAGTGTTGATGAAGATTGATGCTTTTCATTACATCCAGCTGGGGACTGTCTACAGGTAAGAGCACGAGGAGATAAATGTCGTTCATCCACAGCGGCCGAGTGGCTTGGGTTTCAGGGCCCCGTGACTGCAGTGACAGGAGGGCTGTGGGGTGTGTGTGATGATTCGTTCATTCACTCTTGTTCCAGAAAATTCGTCGAGACTGCCATGCTGGATGCTGAGGGTTTGGCCCATTAGGCTGCTCTCCAGGAGCTGGGGGCCTGGGTGGAACCTCAGGAGTGAACCACTGTACCCCAGAGTGCAGGGCGCATGGCGGAAATGCACTCGGGCCACTAGGGGGAGTCCTCTGGGGAATGTGCGGGAGGAGAGGCTTTGGAGGCAGAGGCTGGGAGCTGAGGGAGAGTCCTGGCGAGGGCTTTGGAGGGAGTGGGCTGTTGGGGAGAGGGGATAGTATTTCATATTAAGATGCCCCTCCCAGAGGTAGTCACTGATTTGGAAGGTGAAACATGCATGTAGGTTGTAGGCTTAGAGCTTCATAGGGACAGTAGCAGCCCTGTGTCCTCCCCTCCCCACCAGGCGCTGGTGTTTCCCTCACTATCTGTAGATGACTTAAGGTTGTGGACATTGTCCATGTGGAGTTAGAGGAGAACCTTGCCTCCTGGTTCCCTGCCCCCTCCTTTTCCAGGCTCATCCTTTGACCCTCACTAAGCGCTCGATTGCTACACCAGTCCTTGTTTACATTGGGACACGCAGGTCTTGTTTTGTTCCCTCTTGAGCCAAGTCGTGKTCTCTGATTATTTTCTTCTTGTACCATGTATGGTTTTTCTTATGAGACTTAAGAACCTCATTTTTATTTGGTTTTATGCATAGATGTTCCCACTTTTTCAAGTGTCCTCTCCCATGTCAAGCATGTGTTGAACATAATCTGTTGCTTGCTTACTGTTTCCTTCCTTCCTTTCCCTCCCTTCTCCCTCTTGCTCTGACCCATTCAGTTACTTTCCTAGGACTTCCCTTTGCCACTTCCCCCTTTTTTAGTTTCCATCTGTTCCTCTTTCTGCCTTGACTCCCTCATTTTGCTGGACTACATCCTGCAGTAGCTTCCTGGCACCTCCTAGTGACACCTTTCTGGAGCTCTGGGGGGGTGAATCATTTTGTCAGTGTCCCCTTGAGCGCCTCTGCTCTCATGGTTGGTAGTTCAGGTACCTCCTTCACATCCACTGTTTGTTTTCCAGTGTTGAAATGTCGAATCTGTGTTGACATCTTTGCTCTCATTTTCTTGGGCTTTTTTTTTTTTTTTTTTTTTTTTTTGTTATTTCAGTAGTGTTTCAGGAGGAAGACGGGGTGGTGGTTGGTGGTAATAACAATAGTGTGGCTAACATTAAATAATAGCTAACAAATATTGAATCTTGCTGTGAATAGGCACTGTTTTAAAATCAGGTGTGTGTGTGTGTGTGTGTGTGTGTGTGTGTGTGTGTGTGTGTGTGTGGTGTGCCTGGGATTGAACCACAGCTTTATACAAGCAAGGGAAGCACCCTAACCCTGAGCTACATCCCCAGCCCAAAACAAGGGCTTAATTTGAGGAAACCCGTTTGATCTTGAGAATAACCTCATGTGGTAGGCACTATCCTTAGTCTGAGAGATGTTAAGAACCTTTCCCAAGGTTACAGCAAAAAAATGTCTTGACTGGAATTCAGACCTAAACCTTGTGACTGCCGAGTCTGTTCTTGGCTACCATGCTGTGTGGCCTTGTGTGAAGACCCCTCAGARCACCCCTGTCTTTACTTTCGATTGTGAATCTGTACTATTAAAAATAAGTTAAGCTGTACTATTAAAAATAATCTTTTCATTTATTTTATAAATAATATTGTTATACTTGTATATTTTTGTGTATTTCTCTCATTATTTTCTTAGAAGTAAAATTGCTGCACGAATGTAGTCATTTTAAGGCTTTTGAAATGGCTTAATTGACCTCCAGAAAGATGGTACCACGCTTAGCAAACTTTGAAGTTTAAAGTTGTTCCCTCACGTGAAATATTCCCATTTTAACTTCTCATTCTTGAAAACACTGAACATTTACACATTAATTCCTAGACTCCTTTGCTARTAGCTCCCGATGTTTGTCCCAAATTATATAGCAGCTGTGTGGGAGGGAGGGGGTGAGGAAGGTAAGGCCAGGTCCGTGGTTGTGAAAATCCCCACCAGATCTTTTGACTTGGAGCCTCYGTCTCTGTTTCTGTGGCAGCCTCCTGGTTTAGACACGCACCCTTCTCTCCTGGGYGATTGTACTTTTCTGCAGGGCAGCRCTTTMCTATGCCAGCTGTTTTTTAWATAGTTGTCCATTTAGCCTTTTTGGTAATACCACTGTCCAGGAGGCTGCCACGTCATTCCCRCTTACAGAATGAAGACAGTGAACCCCAAAGAGAGGAAATGACTTCTCCAGTAATTCCCCTGAGATAGCTAAGCTCATCCTTGGTCTTATGGGATTAAGAAATCAGGAATTAAAAATTAGACCAGTCTCCATGACTGTGAATCAGCACAGCAGGAGCTGGGATGTTGGCAGGTCACCTCAGCCTTCAAAGGCTTGATAATCACAGAGATACCAAGAAGCCAGGCCAGGAAAAATAAAGTCATTAAAACCAAACCCATGCATGAGGCACTGGGTTCGATCCTCAGCACCACGTACAAAAATAAATAAATGAAGTTATAAACAAAAGAACAAAAAAAACCCAAACTCAGCCGGGAGCAGTGGCACACACCTGTAATCCTGGTGGCTTGGGAGGCTGAGACTGGAGGATGGCCAGTTCAAAGCCAGCCTCAGCAAAAGCAAGGCGCTAAGCCACTCAGTGAGACCCTGTCTCTAAATAAAATATAAAAAAGGGCTGGTCCAGTGCCCCTGAGTGCAATCCCTGATACACCCCCTACTCCCCCGCCAAAAAAACCCCAAACCCAGTGAGGCCAGGCAGTGATCTTTCCTGCTCCAAAACCCAATCAGGAGGTTTCCCAGATGAAAAAGAGCAAACTCCATCAGGTGGGAGAGGCAGATGTGTGTAGGACAGTCACATAGTCACGGATGCCCCATAGCAACCCCTGCTGTGTCAGCACAGTGATGACCTGCAGCCCTGCGCAGAGTCTCKCCTCGCAGGGGAAGAGGAGTTCAGGTGCCCCTGCAGCTCTGCCTCTGGGTACCACCTGCAGGAAGACCTGGCCCTGGTGCCTGCAGAGGCCTCCTTAGAGTGAGTGGGTGTCTGTCCACTGCCTGGCGCCTTCCTCGTGCTGCAGCCTAAGAGTAAAAGGCCTGTTCCTGTGCCGTGTGACACCCCAGGGGTTTAGGGAGCAGGGATTTGCACCCTGGGAGATGTGTTCACATCTGTGCTTCCTCATCGCCTGGCGTGGGGCTGGGGGAGGGGCTTTTTGTTTTGATTTCACTGGTTTGGGCCACAGGGTTCCAGCAGGGCTAAGTGGTCCCCACATGCGGTCTGCTGGGTCTGCTCCAGCGGGCTGTCTGCAGGGGCTCAGCTGACTGCAGCCCGCGATTTCACCACTTCTCCTGAGCTGACTGGTGGTCACTTGGACTCAAGGATGCTGCCTGTAGCCACACACCTGTGCGGGTRTCTTAGTAGCATCCAAAGGACCAGGCTGGGGCTGCCTCTGGGGACAGGGCATTCGTTGTCACCCAGTGTAGTGGCTTTCCTTTCTAAGGTTAGAGCCACAGCAGCTGGACTCCTGCCTGCTACTCCTTCAAGGTCACTGTCTAGAACGATCCAGTTTGGCACAGGTCTTACCTGATTTCTGGAGCAGAGCTAAGGAAGTGCATTGCTGCTTTTCTTTTTGAAGGCTGGCAGCTGCAGCGGGTTGTCAGGATCAGAGGCAGAGTATAGATGAATCCACTCSAGTGTGTTTGAGTGCAGTGCAGGATGGAGATCAGGGGAGAGAGGGCCRTGGTATTTCCAGTGTGTTGCGCGGCAGGTCAGAAGCTGTGTCGGATATGCATTTCAGAGGTGGCCTGGTGGTGTCACACGCTGGACAGCCTGTGCGTGTTAGTGATAAAATTCTCGGGCATGACCTGGCTCTTGTGGCGTGAGTGACGCGGCCTCTGCCTGTCTGGTTTCCTAAGGACCAGTGTTGATTTCTCGGGGGAAGGGGTCGAGGAGCAGATGTTCCCCTGCGTCACTCTAGGGTGTCAAGCCCAGCCGGGCAGGTGGCACCTGCTCTAGTCACCCGAGGCGGAGCTGGGCCTCCAGAACYCATTTTCTTCCCTGGAGGTGGAGGGACAGGATTCATGTGCAGATGCCACAGGCAGGCAGGCAGGCAGGCGCGGATCTTCCTCTTTCCCAGCTGAAGAAACTGGCCTTCCAAGGCACATGTCAGGGTGGTCCTTCCCTCTGCAGAGGTGTCACCAAGCTTCCTCCCTCCTGTGTCCTGTGTCTCTCATCCATCTCAGGGAAGCGTGTCAGAGGGCAGGAGGATGGCAGCGATGGAGGGGAATCCAGCTTTCCTCTGCCCTAATGTGTTAAAGACATTGAGAGGGAAAAGCTCCACCCAGAGCAAGTCCTTCGGAAGCTTCCTTCCCAGGTTTAGGAGCCTGGGCCCTAGAGCCGCAGAAACCTTGGCTGTGATCCTGACCCACCACTTTCTACTTCGGACAAAGTGACCTACTTTGCCTCAGTGGCCCCACCTGGAAGCTGGGATAACAACAGTGCCTCCCTCCTACGGGGGCTGAGGGACAGGTGCCTGGCCAGGCGTCTTCCTGTCTGGCGCGTAGTGGGGCCACATAGCGCTAGCTGCTGCTGTCCTCCTGTTACCYGTGGTGGCAGCAGCGGGGTCATCGCAGCAGCGCCTGTGAGAGCCTGTTGTTTGTGGCATTCACCGTGGAACGTGGCACCTCGTGGCTCCGACAGTGTCTCCGCCCTGGGTGAAGTCTCAGTGGTGGGAGGAGGGTTGGGGTTCGCCGCTTTCCTGCCCGCTCTCTAAAGCACCATCTGGCTTTTCCAGAGGCCACAGCGTGGTCCCCGATGAGGAAGTCATTGAAATGTACGAGGGGTCCCACGTGCCCCTGGAGCAGATGAGCGACTTCTACGGAAAGGTAACAGGCACTGTCTTCGTGAAGCCGCGGTCTTTCCCGGGCACGTGGCCTCCAAGGGCTCCCYACTGCCCCTGTGGAGCTGGCAGGGGACCTGAGGGGGTGTGTGGATCTGCCAAGTGGAGGGAGGCTGGGGAAGGCGCCACCCCAGCCTCCCCCGTGGCTTCCCCCGTGGTTCTCCTTAACCGCACGCTCCCCACCTGGGAGGCTCCACCCGCCCCACCTCCAGGCATGTCCCTGCTTTCTGGAGTGAACCATGGGCTGTTGGTGCAGCAGCGGTGGCCACCCTGCACCTGTCACACTGCCAGCTGTCCACCACCTGTCCCCAGAGGGAAACCTCTGCCGCTCTGACTTCTGGGGTCCTCTTTCCTGAGTGGAGCAGGAAGTTGGACTGAGCGCACGGGAGGGTGGGGTGGCCAGGGTGGTGGGGCTGGGAGAGGCAGCCATGGACTGCCWTGGACGTCCTCCTTGTGCCCAGCGTGAGACACCGCTGTGAAGGATAAGGAGCAAGGCAGACACTCTGATTGCTGGGACCGCCTCCTTTTTGTGGCGAGTCTCTCAGGTGGACACCRAGGTTGTCACCGAGGAGCCTTGCCGAGGTGGGCCCCACTTCTAACGTGTCCCCCTCTGCAGAGCTCCCACGGCCACACCATGAAGCAGTTCATGGACATCTTCTCCCTGCCGGAGATGACCCTGCTGTCCTGTGTGAACGAGCACTTTCTGAAGAACAATATCGACTACGAGCCCGTGCACCTGTACAAGGACGTCAAGGTGTGTGGAGAAGCCGCGCTCTCAGCCTGAGGAGGCCGCAGGCGGTGGCCCTCTTTCCGGGTCGGGGTCTCTTTGCTGGGATTGTTTTTGTTTATAGTTTACAAGACATTGATAAAGATCTGCTGCATCAGGGAAGTGGAGACCAGGTTTTTGTTAAAGCAAGACGGGGCCTCACGTTGATGTCTGGGTTTCTGGTCCTTTCTGACCAAAAGGCCAGGGCACCCAGCCACAGGGGCAGCCTGGACCTGTCCCCTCTGGGCCTGGAGCCCAAAGAGTTGCTATTCACACTCTCTAATGTGGGCCTGGGCTGCTGAAGTGGTGGGGGCATTTTAAAGTTTTATTCTTTTTATTGATTGATTGATGGATTGATTGACTGTAGTTGTGGATGGACAGCATGCCTTGATTTTGTGTATTTTTATGTGTTGCTGAGGATCAAACCCAGTGCTTCATAAGTGCTAGGCAAGTGTTCTGTTACTGAGCTACAGCCCCAGCCCTAAAGTTTTATTCTTAAATTGATAGTTTATAATTGTACATTTTTGAGGGTTGTACACTGTACTCCATAAAGATGCACAGTTCTGAGGGATGTGAGAGATTGGATAAAAGGGTGTTTTTTTCCCTCTTGCCCACTGAAGTTCCATATGGCTGTCTGAGGCCCTGCCGAAGCCCTGCAGGAATCCAGGAGAGGGGGGCATAGGGACATAGATAGGAACTTTACATGCATCTGTACATGTGATTTATAGATTTATATATTATAATTTATGTTGATGATTTCCACACATTCACTGAGCCATGTGAACTTTATCAATACTTAAAATCTTTATTTGATATACATTTATAATGTAAACGTATGCATATGCATGTAGCATGTGTTTTACTAATCACTTAATTTTGAGGTGGGGTCTCACTGTGTTGTCCAGCTGATCTGAAACTCCTAKCGATCCTCCCTCCTCAGCCTTCCAAGTAGCTGGGATGCCGGCCACCACATTGGGCCTAAGATATTTGTATTTAAAAGACACATACTTACTCACGAAAATATTTTAATTCTGTGTTTATGACTAATTTAAAGTTTTGAGACTTTATTTTGAATTGCACAGACTGCCTCTTCCAGGCAAACCTTTTGAAAACTGCATTGGAAATCGCTTCTGTCATCTCAGAAGCTTCCTTTTCTTCCCAAGGATCCACCAGCCATAAATGCACTAGGTTTGGATTTGGTTTAGGGCCTGGATTGCCGGTCTTATAAAGGCAGAAGTTAACACCAGTGCTGTTACACTTGGACTGTCACCCCGGCTGGCCCAGTCCCACTTTCACTGATTCAAAATGTGTCTTTGGACAGGATTCAATTCGGGATGTTCACATCAAAGGGATAATGTACAGAGCAATCGAAGCAGACATTGGTATGTACTTGGCAGGGCCCGCGTGTTGTGTTACTGGGTAGGCATTTTACTTTGCATGCCAGGGTCTGCGCAGGGGCTGCATGCACCTTTCTGAGTGCCAAATAAGGACTCTGACCCCCAGCTTGACCTCATTCTGACTCAAAAGTGGAGCAGCTGGCAGCTGCAGATGTAGCAGGCAGGGTCTTTGTGACTGATGCACTGGGCATTCGTACCCCACCCTGAACCAAGCTTCCTTAAGACTTTTATTCCCCACCGTGGCTGGGGCAGTCCTGGGCCCACGTGCCCCATTTAGTAAGTGTTTGCAGATAGGCTGATTTCATGCCAACTCTGAGTGTGAATTTTTCTCTTGCTCTTAGAAAAGTACATTTGCTATGCTGAGCAGACCCGTGCAGTGTTGGCCAAACTGGCTGATCATGGCAAGAAGATGTTTCTCATCACCAACAGTCCCAGTAGCTTTGTGTAAGTTTTTCTGTTTYCTCCCTTGCTTCTGGCTCACTTCGTATATATACCATTTCTATTTTTTCTTTTTCTTTTTTAATATTTGTTTTTTAGTTATAGGTGGATACAAAAACTTTATTTTATTTTTATGTGGTGCTGAGGTTTGAACCTGGTGCCTCGTGTGCTAGGCAAGTGCTCTACCGCTGAGCCTCAGCCCTAGCCCGATGCCATTYATTTTAGTAGTTGGAAAGAAATAGTTGCAAAAGTAGTTCATCCTTTGATGTTCAACTAACCTGCCCGACTTATTCTTCTAGGGACAAAGGGATGAGGTATATTGTTGGGAAAGACTGGAGAGATCTGTTCGATGTGGTCATAGTTCAGGCCGAGAAGCCAAACTTCTTCAATGATAAGCGGAGGTGAGTGATCATCTTCCCTGGGGACTCAATTTTATTCCATTGCTGTTGTAAATGGATGTGTAATGACAAAATCCTGAGCATATGAGACGATAGCTTATAGCCCTTCCAGCAAAGTGATCTAGGGAGGTGGGATTAGCACTCAGCAGGCAGCTTTGTGCTGAGATGGTTCCTGTTTGGCTTGTGCTACGTCAGGGCTGTGAACCCAGTTTTAAGAAAATGATAACAGTGCTGAAAAATCAAACTTTATGTCACATAGTAAACTAGATCTTTGGGTACAAATGCATTGTGAAGCATGAGAAAACTATGGGGCAGGTATCTTTTAAAATAGAGCTCCCGTTGGTGCATTTAAAATTGTGGTTGGATCTTGCAAAACTTCTGTGACACAGGTTTTATATCAAGTGGAGTAAATCTCTACCATGTCTTAGTGTGTCTTCCTGCCACAACAGCCTTAGAAATGGGGGAGTGGGGATGTTTTGGGTTATGACAGTGACTGGGGAGTGCTGTTGCTATTTAGTGGGTGGAAGTCAGGGGTATTAAAATATCTTTTAACCAGGATCAGACTAGTTGCCCTGCTAAATGTCCATGTTGTTGGGAATTCCTACATTAGGGTTCTAAAAGTGATCCTAATGTGTTTGTGTGATGGCCTAATTTTGAAACACTTTACCTACCTTTGTGTAGTCCGTGGCTGGTGACCAGCAGCGTCTGCCAGGTGTTAGAAGGCGTCCCCACACGGGGACTTGCAGTCAGTACTGGATTTGCTGCATTCTCCTCGTGATGCCAAGTTCCAGTTGTTTGAGTGTCACTGTGACTCCCAGAGGAAAAGGGAAAAAACCCAAAACCACGCGTAGTGACTGAAAACCGTGGGGCAGCAGTTGAGAATGAAGGAAAAACTAGAGTGTGATCAGATGGACATCAACGCGGGCTTGCTGCTTGGCCACTGATAGAATGCTGTCACCGGGCCTGGGGCATAGCTGCAGCTCCGTGGTGGAGCGCTTGCCAGGCATACAGGAGGCCCTGGGTTCACTGTCAGCACCACAGACACAACAAGAACACTCCTGCGTTCCTCCCTAGATTCCTGCTGTGGTCAGGAGAAGGCGGCTCTCCCTTGGCCAGGAACCTCCTCTCTTCTCTGTTATACATTCAGTGGAGGGCTGGGGTCCTGGGCTATTCCTGGAGGTGAGGGGTGTCCGTAGAGTACTCCCCTCCCTTTGGTGCACCATTTATTTATTTTGCCTTTGTTCTGAATGCCTGGAATAAATGCTAAGTGACCCTCCATCTAATCCATCCTTTCATAATATTGAGAAGTCAGAAACTGGTAACCTAGACTTCCAACAGTAGGGGATGGTAGTTTGAATAATTCAGAGCATCCACGTTAAGGGGATGTTAGGCACTTGTTAAAATTGATGTATTTAGAACTGGGCTTGGTAGTGTGCACCTGTAGTCCCAGCTGTTGGGGAGGCCAAAGCGGGAGAATTACAAGCACAAGGCCAGCCTGGGCAACATAGACCCCATCCCCAAAACAAACACACACATAACTTAGGGAAAAGAAAGAAGTGGGCATGTTTTATTACTGTAAAAAATGATGTACTTAAGAATATGTCATCACGTGAGAAATTGCTCACACTATTAAAGAAAAAGAGATGTAAATCAGTGTGCACAAAGTGACCTTGAGCTTCATTTTATGTTCATAAAAACAGGGAAAACAGTCAGGTGCGGTGATACATGCCAGTAAGCCCAGCTACTCAGGAGGTTGAGGCAGGAGGACTGCAGGTTTGAAGCAACTTTGAGAGACCCTCTCTCAAAAGGGTGGGGAGCAACTTTGAGAGACCCTCTCTCAAAAGGGCTGGGGATGTAGCTCAGGGGAAGAGTGCTTGCCCACATATATAAGGCCCTGGGTTTAATCCCCAGTATTAACAGAAAGAAAAAAAAAAGGAAACTGATTGTATGTAAAGACTGAAAGACATACTGACATATTGACATGTGAGTGTTTCCACCTGGGTACTGGCCTTAGAGTCACTTCCCTTTTCTGCATTTTCCAGATTTTCTATAGTGAGWTTTTCTTTTAATTGGGAAAATAATCTCAATAAGTGTTACTTAAAAAAAGAAAAAAAGAAAGGTAGACAGGCACCCAAGTCCTGAGGGTGCCAGTCTCAAGGATGAGGCCTTATCTCTGTGGTCCATTTTCCATCATAAAATAGTACTTCTGGTCCTTCGACTTGTTTTCTATCTAGAGTGACTCAATTTAGTGGATAAATGTACTAAGGCAATACTTCCACAAACTTTTTTTTTTTTTTTTTTTTTTGGTGTGTGAGACAGGTTTTCTGCATGACCAAATAAATTTGGGAAATCTTTAGAAAGTGTATTTAGAGCAGGACTTGTTTCAGAGCTATCAGTAACTTTTTAAGAGGGACATAGGCAGTGTGTAGTGTTTCCTGGATTTATCTGACCCTGGTACCTTTTTTTTCCTTTCTGAATCACCTTAGGTGGATGGTGGTTCGCATGGTCTGGGGCACGTTGAACAGGCAGGGATTGTGGTRGAGTTTTGGGCTCAGGGATGTGTCAGGTGCATCGAGGGAGCTGCTTCCTGTCATCAGGAAGTGTCTGAAGTATCTCTGGGAGCAGGTGGCCTGAACTGTCATCACATGTAATGTTTCCCATTTCTGTTGTTAGACCTTTCCGAAAGGTGAATGAGAAAGGTGTCTTACTCTGGGATAAAATCCACAAGTTGCAGAAAGGCCAGATTTACAAGCAGGTATCTCTTGATCAGTTTGTTGTCTGTGTTGCTTTGCTTTGTGGCCAGCGGTCATGATAACCAATGGCTGACGTTTACTGAGGCTTGCCGTGTGCCTGGCACAGTTCGATCCCTTGAATTGACTGCTGATTAACTGGGTGGTAAAATTTAGGCTGAAGTCAATATATTTTCAAAATGCTGTTATCTAAATTAACTCAAAGTTGAATTGTTTTTAAAAACAAACTTTAAAGCATTACACGGCACATAAAATTTAAGATGCCAGTGGTAAACCTTGGAGGTTTCTTGTTAAGGAGCATTAATCATGGCATATTACTAACCCAAATTGATAATTATTTCCTGATGAGATACGTTTTTCTGTACAGTCTCAACGTATTTTGGTGACATATAAGGCTTTCAAGGGTTTGAATGAATGATTGACTGGCTGACCCAATGTTATTATGTTATTGAAGTTATTTTTTTTCCTTACATACTGATACGTTCTTGGTGGGTATGCAACAACCTTCCAGATTTGACAATAAGTATATTTTCCAGGCCTTGAAAAAATTAGATTTAGTGTAGCCATTTCACTTCTAGGAAGTTAGGCTAAGAAAATTAAGAGGTACACCATGAAACTTTGCTATAAGAGTGTTTATTATGAAGTAACTTACAAAATTGATAATGGTGTAAGCGTTCAACATCAAGGCACTGATAAAAGGAGTCAAGGTGTTTCACAGCTATTGTAATCACATTGAGATTAATATTTATTGATTTGGGGCTGGAGTTGTAGCTCAGTGATAGCGCACTTACCTAGTATGAGTGAGACACTGGTTTCAATCCTCAGTACCACGTAAAAATAAATAAATAAAATAAAGATATCATGTCCATCTACAACTAAAAAATTTTTTTAAAAATATTTTTTGATTTGGAAAGTTGATCATAGCATGTTAAATATGAAAATACAGCATGTTGAATACAGGGCCGAGGATATGGCTTACGTGTAGAGTGGTTGCCTCCCATGTGTGAGGCCCTGGGTTTGATCTCCAGTACTGAGAGAGAAAAAGAAAGATAGTTACAAAGTGTTGTTTACAATATGAAGACTTGAAAAATGCATTTAGTATAGAAGTCCAAAGATTTTTTTCTAAGAAGGTGCTTTTATGTTTTGATATTTCAAATAAACTATAAAAGCAAAACCAATTTTTTAGATATTTAAAAAATATTTGGGACCATGTATGTCATACGATGCACTGTCTGTTTTTCTCTTATTGCAGGGCAATTTGTATGAATTTTTGAAGCTCACTGGGTGGAGAGGCTCCAGAGTGCTGTATTTCGGGGACCACATATACAGTGACCTGGCGGTGAGCAGCACCTTTTCTCCTCAATTTGTTGGGGGACAGGTGTATCAGTCTCATTTCTTTTTTGTTTAGAAGGTCATTTTAATCCTTTCCTAAGAACCTGGAGTAGGCCACATTTTTTTAAATGTCTGCCTTTTACAGAACAGGATGGTTCCGAATTGTGCAAAGGATAAATTCTTATGAGGGCAATTGAAAATGTATGCAAAGAGTTGATCAGAAAAATATTTCCATTTAAATAATGATAAGAAGTGAATGCCCTTGTTAACTTTTCTTTTTTATCATGAAACATTAAAGATGGAGCATGAAAGCTCGAAAGCCTCAGTCCAGCTCTGGCCAGCCGGTCACTCCCAGGAAACAGCCACCTTGTGCCACTGAGGCTTTTTTCTTGACCCTGGATGTGAGGGCAGTTAGGGTTTAGCCTACACTGGGAACAAGTCTGAGTTGTTGTATTGGCTGCCATCCTTGGTTCCTTGTGGAACGAGGTTTTCTTTGTTGAGTGATGGCAGGTCTCTCCTTGCATGATTTCCAGAGCTCAAAGGCAAGTGGGTAACGTGAGGGTCGTGGCCCCTGCCACCTCCACTGTTGCTATGTCTGGATGTTTTGGCCTTCAGGTTGAGCCTCTCCCTGGACACATGGGTTCCCCCCCTCTCCCTGCCAGACCCTGGTTAATGATTCCACTCCCTGTGTTTCTGCAGGCGCTGTGATTCACAGCAATTATTTCCAGAACAGAAACTTTCTTAGGGTGGAATCATCAAAGCTTGGGGCCAGATTGGTTTAATTAAGTGTAATTCATTGAATGCAACTTGGTTAAAAACTAACCATTACAATTAAAAAGTAATTTAAATGAATGCTTCTTGTGTCTGGCAAAGATAATGAAATGTTTGGGTTCTGTTGAGACTGATGTTGCCTTTCTGTGATCCCTGTGATTAGGATTTGACCCTGAAGCATGGCTGGCGGACTGGTGCAATTATCCCCGAGTTAAGGTCGGAGCTCAAAATCATGAACACGGAGCAGTACATTCAGACCATGACCTGGCTGCAGACCTTGACTGGCTTGTTGGAGCAGATGCAGGTTGGGATGTTTGTTCCCCCCTCACTTTTTCCTTTAAGCTTCTGGCTTATCTGCTGGTCCAAGTTATTTCACATATTTTCTGTTTAATTGTAGTTATAAAGTATGAGGTTTAAGCTGTCCTCAGTAGGCTGTAGAATAACTTCTGGAGTTATTTTGCTGCTGAGGCAATTTGTCATTTTCCCTAAAGAGACCATTAAAAAAAAAAAAGTGCAGTCATTTGGAGAGTGTTTGCAGAGCCTGCACAAATGCAGGTATTTATGATCCTCTGTCAGTGGAAATGGGGCCCTTACTTTCACCCTGAGTCACACCAGGGCTGTCCTGTGGGGTGCTGATTTGAGCAGCTCTGCTAGTGCTGGGTTTCAGTCTTTCCTCTTCCATCAGCCTGCTGTGGGACTTCTCTATCCTGGGCCTCGGTTTCCCTGTCTGTAAGGGGAAGCGTCCTGTGGAATGTGCACTTCAGTCGAAGTTTGCTGGAAAGTGTCACAAAACCAGTCAAGATCTCTGGGTCCAGCCTCAGTCTGATTTTGAAGAAAATATGCATGGTTTGCTTTCCTTCTGGAGTTTGGTGGCAGTTAACTTCTTTCTGTAAATTATGTGGTCCAGTTTGGGACAGTTAGAGAGGAATGTCCTTTTTATTGGTCACATCCTGGCCTGTGGGAGCCACTCCTCTKTTGCAACTGCGACCCCCTTCTCTGGGCCTGTCCCCCTCCTGCACTCACCAGGTACCTCACTTTCTCCCTGGTCCGGCTGGCCTGGGCTGCTGTCCTCCTGGCAGGGTGGAGGTAGCCAGGACTCTGCAGTGTCACAGAGTACTGATGGTTAATCTGCGTGCCAGCCATTGTGCTGAGAGCTTGCCCTGTGCACCGAGCTGACTCTTGGAGATTACGGGGCACAGATGCCCGCTGTCTTGGCTGACACTTCAGCTCTGGCACAGCCTGTTTAGCCCATCAGTGGCTTTGGAAATGGGCGAAGAACTGCCTTGCTGCCCTAATTGGCAGCCCGTGTTGAGGTGGCTGGGCGCTGAGCTCAGGCAGAGCCGTGGGGAGAGGCAGGCCACATGTTCCAAAGCGTGAGCCCCTGCACGTCCGCCAGGCTGGTTTCCAGTGTTCCCTGTCTGTCCTGGTCCTTGGTTCTTCTCTGGTGAGGCTTTATTTTGCTGCTTCTACCGTGCTTGCCTGTGATATGATTTTCTAAACACATAAGACATCGATTCTGGGCTAATGTAGCCGAGAGTTTGCATGTCACACAGCAGCAGTTGTTCCTTCTTGTGTGCCAGCCACACCTTGAGTGCTTGCTGTATACACGATGCTCACTTAATAAAGTTGTCCTGTGCAGGTAGGTGCAGATTTTCCATTTCAGAATAGGAAACCTGGGTTTCAAGAGGTTAGTGACATGTCCAAGGTCCTAAATGACAGAGCAAGCCTTGAACCCAGACTTGGGATGCCCATATCCGGGCCCTTGAGCATCATCCTAGTGCCTGCTGGTTCAGGGGTCTCAGGTGGAGCCAGAGGCTTTACCTTGTCTTATTTGCAGTTTATCTTTCTGTGGGTTTTAGTTTAACTGTAGTCAACTTGGTTCTGAAAATATTAAATGGAAAATTCCAGAGATAATTCACAAATTTTAAAATAACTTTTATTACATTGTTGTTATTGTTCTGTTATTAGTTACTATTATTAATCTCTGCCTAATTTTATAAGATAGACTTTGTCATAGGTATGTACACAGAGGAATAACAGCAGACTCTGGGCTTGGTGTTACCCCAGTTCAGGCATCCCCTGAGGGTTGAGTGCAGGGGTGTGTGTGTGTGTGTGACCTCGCCTTAGTTGGAGTCCAGTGGCAGCAGCTGCTGGTCAGATATGCAAACAACTTGCGTGTGGATGACTTCACTGCTTTGGGAACCGTCTTTGTTTTGTTTTCCTCTCTGACCTGTGAAAACAAATTTGACAGTTAAGAGTGTACCTCAGGGGCTGGGGATGTGGCTCTAGCGGTAGCGCGCTCGCCTGGCATGTGTGGGGCGCTGGGTTTGATCCTCAGCACCACATAAAAAAATAAAAAATAAAAAAGATATTGTGTCCACTGAAAACTAAAAAATAAATATTAAAAAAATTCTCTCTCTCTCAAAAAAAGAAAAAAACGAGTGTGACTCAGAGAAAGGAGGTGTTGGAGATGTTTCTGGGACTTGGAGGATCAGTTATACAAGGCACAGGGTTAGGGAGTAAGAAAAGGGAATGAGCCTTTACGGTGCACCCGTTTCACAGGAGAGAAAGCCGAGGCCGAGAGATGAGTGACTTCCAGCATCACAGAGTCAGTGGTGGGCACCGGGTCCTGCTGACTGTAGCAGGTCTTCTCTGCGCTGGGCACTTGGGCCTTGTGTTCATTTCACCCTCGTGACTTCCAGAGTTCGGAGAGCGTCCCTTGCGTTTTATAGATGAAGAATCTGAGCACAGAAGAAAAACACCTTGCTCAGGCCTGCGGTGGCACTGGCCTGGGCTTGGGTGCCCTGGTCTCTGCCTCCGCGCTGCGCCACCTTGGGCTCTGACGCTTTATATGATGTTGGGTCAGCGGCACCAGGTTAGAGGAGTGTGGCTGATAATTTTAAACATCCCAGAGAGTGTCCATCCTAACTGTCCTCCCTGTCCCCCCACTGTCCCCACTCCCGCAGGGTTCACCTGGAAAGGTAGACATTTTCCACTGATCCTGTGGCACATTTCTAGAACTCTTCATTATTTATGAAGAGAAAAAAATTTTCCTTTGGGGCAGGGGTAACAGTATCATTTGGAGCCTAGTCTGATAATTTAAATAGAAGCATGATTTTTGCTTTCTAAACAGTGACTTTAAAGAATCATGTTGCTAGCTAGCCTTGCAGTGCGCTCCACAGTGGCCACAGTTAGTGGTGGTGGGGCTGGTCACTGGTGGGGCTGGCCAGTGAGGGGGCTGGCTGGGGTTAGCAAACTTCTGCGGAGGGCCCGATGGTAGATGTTCAGGGCTGTGTGGACTGTGGATTCTGTCACGGCTGCTTAGCTTTCCTAACAGAAGCAGCCGTGGACCGTGTGTGAGTGAGCAGTTGTAGCTTGTCCTGCTGAACTCCRGTGGACACTGAAATATGAATTCATTTACTTTCATGTGTCATGGAATTATTCTCCTTTTGCCCCCCCCCATCTGTCCCCCTCCAAGCCTATTTGTAGGCTCCTGAGTGAGCACAGACCCTCAGAGCCAGTGTCCCTGCTGTGGTGTGCTGCCTTGGCCTCAGCTCTCCRGATCCTTCCTCCATTGCTTTTCCCTTCGGCAGCCTTGGGGCAGAAGTTGGAGAGGCTCCATCCTCATCCTTGGCCACCCTCCAGATTCAGGACCATAGGGACCCAGGGGTGGGAGTCTGAGTGGGGTGCACCACCCGCTCCATGGCTGGGAGAGCCGGGTTAGAGAGCGTGCCTTGAGCTTGGGAGATTTGCRTCGGCTCTTCTGTTGGCAGAGCTGCCTCGGGCGGGTTCCCCGAGGGTCAGGAGTGGAGAGAACTCCCCCGGCCTCTAGCAGGCAGCTAGCTTGAGAAGGGAGAGCAAGTAGATTGACTTAGGTCGTCCTCCTCCCTGTGGCCAGGCAGTGAATGTGCCCTCCTGCAGGGGCRCCACTCTCTTAGTCCATGGTGACTGTACCGTAGACTGGTGGCTTAAAGCAGAAGCATTTATGTCCCACCGTCCTGGAGACTGGGATCTGAGGTCCAGGAGCCAGCAGAGCTYTTGTCTGGGTGGGCCCAGCGTTGCATGGTGCTGTGCATGGCTGGAAGGTGGCTGGAGAGCTCTCTTGAGGTCGTTTTTATATGGATACTCTTCGCATTCGAGGCTCAACCCTCATCATTTTGTCACCTCCCCATACCTTCATGCTGGAGGCTGGGATTTCTGCTTAGGAATCTCAGAGGGCCACGAGCACCCTGGGCCATGACGCGCCGAGGGCGGGCCTGGGAGCTCCTTCCCGCTAGTGTGAGCAGTGGGCGCCCAGTTCACGGGGCAGGAGGTGGGTGTGGGCAGAGGAGAGGTGGGGAGTCCCCGTTCTCCGTGGCCTCACGTTGTGTTGGCCTGGTCTGCCCCACGGGGGCCTCCATTCCCGTCCTCTTGTGTCTTCGGCCTCCGGCGGAGTCCCGTCGGGCAGAGGTGCAGAAGGAACTCGCACGTTCGCACATGTGAAGGTCCCTGTGGCGCCTGAGATTTTACTTCTTCCGATTTGGTCTGAATCCGGGATGTCCTGGAGCTCGGTTCTGGAGTAAGTAGCTTGCTATCAAATGTGAAAGCTAATTCAAAATGCCCTCACAGAACCTGCTTCAAAACTCCCAGCAAGGAGAGGCYGGCGGTCTGTGCTCCTGGCACCCAGCCGGTGGGTTTCCTTTCTTTTATTTTTTTTAGATATCGGTGGACCCTTATTTTATTCATTTAGTTATATGTGGTGCTGAGGATTGAACCCAGTGCCTCACGCCTGCAGGCAAGTGCTCTACCGCTGAGCCCCAGCCCCAGCCCCAGCCCCAGTGGGTTTTCAGATGGAAGCTGCTTCCGGTGGGGTAGCCCCTGACATTAGCAAGAAGCCCAGATTCCAAGCCCAGGCGAGACAGCTTTGTGTGAGTGCAGACTCTGCCTGGCGGCTGCGGGTGTCACCTTGGTGGGCCAGGCAGATGTGACAAGCACAGRCTCCCACGTGAGAAGCAGATGGTCTGCCCATTTGGCCTTTCCCTCTGAGCTCTGAGGTTACCCTGCGGTCAGGGATCCCAGTGAGCTCCACCTGTCCCCTGCGATCATATGTGCCTCCGACTCCGCCCTCCCTGTTCCCTTCAGTCACAAGAACGTTGGAGGGAGACTTGTGAGATTCCACTGGGAGGTTGTGGGCAGCTGTCATTTTCTTTTTGTCTTTGACTCACATTTTGGCAGACCAGAAAGTCTCCTGCTCTTTCGTCACTCACGTTGAGATGTGTCATCTTGTTGCCCTTTGCCTCTTCAGATTTAAACATCTAATAAAGTGATGTAACATTAAAGAAAAAAACCAGAACCATTTATGGTCCTCCTACCTTTGCACAAATTTTTTAAAAATTCTGTGTTAATTTCTAGCACATATTTTCACATACTTGCAATTAGTGGACGTACCGTTATGCACACTGTTTCAACTTAACTGCTGTGATATGATATACATGCATGTAATATATGAAGTAGCTAGTATGTGGGAAGGGTATGTTAATATACATAATAATTAGATGTAATGGGTATGTCGCCCATGTGGGTTTACACATATATTTTTACATGGACATACATGCATTACTTTTATACAAGCCTTTAATTACGGTTGAATATCTTCATAATATTCCCCTCTTAATTTGCTAAATCAGGTTTCTAATGATGGATATTTAAAACTCTCTGTGCTCTGTGTGTGTATGAGTGTGTGTGTGTGTGTGTGTGTGTGTGTGTGTCTGTGTGTGTGCGTGTCTGTGTTAATTTTGTAAGTGAAGAAGGCAGGGTTTCAGTTGGAGAATCTGAAAATGTATTACTTCACCCAAGTACCTGCCTCTCTTTTTTTTAATTTAAAAAAATATTTATTTTTTAGTTATAGGTAGACACCATGTCTTTATTTTTATGTGGTGCTGAGGATCAAACCCAGTGCTTCATGCATGCTAGGCAAGGGCTCTACCACTTGAGCCACAACCCCAGCCCAAGTACCTGCCTCTTAAAGAAATATAATTCTTCCGAGAGCTGCCCATCAAAAAATTCTGATGAGTTTGTTTGAAACCCAAACTATCACTGGCTTGTGTCCTGCAGGTTCACAGAGATGCTGAGTCGCAGCTGGTCTTGGAGGAGTGGAAAAAGGAGAGGAAGGAGATGAGGTGAGAGTGGCTTATTTTGAAGACGGTGACCTGTTCTGGGTGTGCTCAGCCCACATGTTCTCCCAAGGCCATCCGAGGCATGATCATGAAACATCCATGGTGTGCTCCCAGGTGTAGATGTGGCTTCCCAGGACTCCAGGATCAGTTGTCTGCTGTCGGTGACAGTGGCATTTCTTAGAGGCCAGCGGTAACCTCCATTTTTCCCCTGCCCTGGCAGCGTCATGGGAGAAGGGGACTCTTCCTCTCCTTCCTCCTCCCCGCCTCCTTGACTGTTCCATCTGGGCTGTTGGTGGCCCTGTGTTGCCAAAGCCGGGAGCATGTGTGGCTGTTGGGGCTGTGATGGGGGAGGGCTCTGAGCCCCAGTGAGATCTTAGGGCTCCTACACCTGGGTGTGTGTTCGTACCTATGGCTCTTGCAGGAATATGCACATAGTCGGTCATCAGAATGTTTCCTGAAGCCCCTCTGCTGTCAGAAATGTTTGGCCGGTGTGTGTCCTAGTGGACAGTTTGCAGAGGGGGCCTGTTGACAGTCGTGCTCCTTGCGAAGGGTGCTTTGTATGTGGACGCTCTTGGCAGGAATGCTGAAGAACCCGGCCCTCCTCAGGCCCTGGGTCCAGTCTAAGGTCTGGGAAAGTGGCTGCTGCTGGATTCTAGCCTCTGAGCAGTGGGCAGCCTGGCTCCAGGGGGAGTCCGTGAGCACAGTGGGAGAGGTGTGGAGAGGGGACAGTGTCCATGCCTCAGGCTCTGTGGGAGCCAGGGTGGTAGTGCACGCTGTCCCGCTGTCCCTCCTCCTCCCGCAGGCTGTTGGCCACCTAGGGCTTGCTCTGACAGGATTTCCTTTAGCATAAAGTGTCCTGAGAGGAAGGTGGGGGGCAAGGCTTGGAGCAGAGGGACTTCAGGTTTCTTACCCTGAAGGCCAGGCCTGGGTCACATTCCGTGGGGCATTCACTTCTAGGAACCTCAGATAACTAGACAAAGGGACCAATGACTTTGAGTATTTAATATCTTCACATTTCAACGAGATTCTTCAGTAAACGTTGGAAAACCATCCAGGTTGTTCCGCCCACAGAGACCCAGGTGGGTTCTTTTAATGTTCTGCTGTTTGGTGGTTATTGCTTCTGTCATCGACAAGTGATGGCAGGCAGGTGACACCACTGCTGGCTTTAGTCACACAGTTGTGTAAACAGTTATACTGTTTGCTGTATTTAACTAATTTATCAACATTCCATTTTTCTGGAATATTCTGTAAGGTTCCCAGCCACAAGATGGTGTGCATGTCCTTGTGTGTGGGATGTTGATTTAGACACAAATGCACAGAGTGGCAGAGGGGCCACTGTAGGGATTTGGGACCTTCTGTGGAGCCGTGACCTTGACCGTGCAAACTGCTGTGGGCTGGGCTGGGCTGGGCTGGGCTGGGCTGGGCGGAGGCCCTGAGGTTGAAGCTGTGTCTCCTTCCTAGGCTGCAGTAACTGGGAAGTGTGATCACAGTCATCTCAGAGGTGTCGGATGGACGGATGGTTTTTCTTGAATGGAAGTCAGGATTGTTCTAACTTCAAGTCCTGTCGGGTTTTTTTTTTTGTTGTTTTTTTTAATTAAGAGATTTTGATTTTAGTAATTAAAAAACCTTTAAAAACCTTTCTCTGCTGCTCTGTTTCCGTTTTTATTTATTTGTTTATTTTTGCTTTAGGGAGATGACCAAGAGCTTCTTCAACGCCCAGTTCGGAAGCCTGTTCCGCACAGACCAGAACCCCACCTACTTCCTGAGGCGCCTGTCGCGGTTCGCGGACATCTACATGGCGTCTCTGAGCTGCCTCTTGAACTACGACGTCAACCACACCTTCTACCCCAGGAGGACTCCCCTGCAGCATGAGCTGCCCGCGTGGTCCGACAGGGCCACCACCTCCAGGGCTCCCCTCCTGCAGGAGGCGCAGGCCAAGTAACCCTGGCCCCTGGGGAAAGGGCCAGAAGCAGCCTGGCCCCCACCGTGTCCACTGGATGGGGTGGACTCTGGGTGGGCCCAGTGGCTTTCTGAAGAGACACGATAGGCTTTTGATGTGTTTTGCACCTARAGGACAGGACTCCCCAGGCTGAGAGGAGCCTGCCACCCACTGGTGCGCCTCCCTTCTCTCCGGGCCTGGGCGTAGCTTGGTACTGGAAGTCCCACTCCGCCTTGTTCTCTAGGACCTGGAACTGACCTGGGTTAGGTGAGACCACTCSTGCCAGCAGGTCCTTTAGACGCTGCTCTGGCTCTTGCACCGTTTACCTTGGGGGCTGCAGAGCCTGAGGATGCATGGAGATACCCCGTCGGCAGCAGGCAGACACTTCAGGAGCTGTTGCTGGCAGTAACCGCTGTGAGTGGCAGAGGTCCCTGAATGGCAGGATGCCCCGGTCTCTGGTCCTGAGGCTTTGGCGGGCCTTCCTGTGGTGGATCGCGTCCAAGAGAACCCAGCCTCCTGGAAGGACTTAGAGGAGAAGGAACAAGAACACTGTCCTCATTGTGTGCTGCTGTGACCCAGCCCAGGCCAGGCGAGGACATCTGGTACAACAGGAGATGGGAATGAGGGCGAGGGCACTGCTCTGGCTACGGTCACCTTCCAGTTGGCCGCACCTCTGCCTACTGTCCAACGAGGCTGTGAGACATCCGTGGGGCAGAAGAACCCCAGCCTTTGTGGGAGGTTCCCCAGACCCACAGGAAGCCCAGAATCGCCGCCCTGAGCCCTGGTCTCCTGCACTTACTGAAGGAAAGAAACGGAAACAAGACAAGACCCTTGTGCTGAAGTCCTATACCACAGCACCCCCAGGCTAAGCTGGAATCTTGTTAGAGCATGTTTCCAGAAACTGTCCTGCTCTGCGGGGGGACAGACAAGGTGGCTTYCTCTCTCGACAGCAACCACATGGGAGAGGTGCCGCTTTGGCAGAGGAGAAGGAAGGGGCCTTCCCCAGCCACCTCCAGCCCTTGCTTAGTTCTGGTTCCTGCCCCGTTTGAGTGGCTCCGGAGTTCAGGTGGTTTCCTTTTGGTGGTTCAGGTGGGACAAGGTGAGAGACATCGAAGTTAGTAGGAAGACCTGGGTCCTGAGCTGTTCTCATTTCTAAGACTGAAGCAAATGGCCATGTTCTTCTCCTTACTTCCTCCCTCTGGAGGGAAGAACGCTTTATTAATCTGTCGTCGTAGCATCTTTCTCTGAGCACCTCAGGGCTGTGCTGTTTTTATTGCAGATGCTTCTGGCCAGTGATCTTGTCTAGTCTTGCTGGGATTCATCTTGGGATCTTGCTCTTTAAATCTGGAGAATGGGCAGGAACCTGGGGGGCCTGTGGAGAGCACTTGCTCATTTAGCATGTTTATGTAGGAATCGTACCCGGCTGTTGAACACCCGCCTGGCATTGCATGGGCTTCCGCCAACATGCAGGAGTCCAGTGAGTTACGTGGCACCCTCTGGCTCTGCTCATTGTGATGCGGTTTGACTTTGGTATTTGGTTGTTTAACTGTCCTGGTGGAGGTGATGCTTTAGACCCAGGTAGGCTTCTTTTCCTTCTGTGTTGTAGGATGAACACTGTAGGGCACAGTCGTCTGACCCTCTTTTGGGACAGTGGGCGTGTTGTTGGTGTCWCCCAGGTGCTTCACCACCAGTGTTTTGGAGTCTGGCTTTTAAGGCAGCAAGTGATGCTCAGAACTGCTCAGTTACGGGTCCCAAAAGTATGGGATGGTGCTTTCTCTTGGCTTTTGATTTCTGCTTTGGAGAAGCAGAAGAGGACACAGGGGTGGCTGAGAAGCATCCGTGGCTTATGGATGAGGTGCCAGGTAACAGGGTGTTTTGTTTACTCAAGAGTGAAGTAGAACTTTTTAAAAAAATCTCTCTTTTGAATATCTGGGCTAGGTGACCTAAGCCTTGGGGCAGGGGACATTTTCTGGGAATGAATAATGAATAATGAATTTTACAGATTATTCCCAGGGAGGAGGGTTTTCATTTCAGGGCCATGAGCCTGGCAGCCCAGAGATCTGCCAGGTGGCAGAGGCCTGGCATCCCTTGTACCAGGGCCACCAAACGAGGGCCTGGCACACTCAGCAGCACAGCTCCGGGGAGCAGGGCCCGGGCATTTTCCCGCTTCTTCCTCCTCCAGCTCAGTCAGGGCAGGCTTTAGCCTGTCACCATCACGACTCAGCTGGGACCTGGCCCGCTGCACTGTGCGGCTTGTTCTTCCCCGTTTGTTCTGGGGTGTGTGCGCCGATGGAAGTGCGTGGGCATCAGAAGTGACTGTTCTCCGCCACTTAAGAGAATCAATTTGTAAAGCAAACTGTAAAATCAGTTTGAACATTGAAACAGTTACTGTTGTTAACCTTGCTGAGGTTGATTTTCTAAGAATTATGAGAACAAAAGTTCACAGTCCRGGGGCGTCCACACCAGCGGTGACAGTCGGCAAGGCTCGTGGCACCCATAGCAGGTGCTTGAGGAAGGCACGGCACTGAGGGTTTTCTCCAGAATTTTTGCTTTTATAGAGGAAACSTGGCTTTAAAAATATTTTAAGTTTTTGGCTTACAGCTCCCACTTTCTCCTACCACCCCTCCCTGTCCCTCTCCCCCCCCCTTCCTTCTCTCCTCCCCTCCCCTTCTTCCCTGTCATATTTGACTCTTGAGCTCCATTTTCTGCTCTCACCATTAATTCCAGGTAACACGTACCACCTGCTGTGGATTCCGGCCTCTCAGGCGGAATCACTGGTTGCTTTGAGCAGTACATCAGCCCTCTTAATTATTGCAAAGGAGAAGCGAGAAGCAATCTTGCCTCCTACTMATTTGGCTTTTCCTCTGTCCTCCTCTCAATAGGTTTTTAAGTGGCAGAGAGTGCTAAATATTGGCCTTGAATTCTATTTAGCCCAATGCTCATTGGCTGCCAGAGGCCCCGACAGGACCCCGTATCTAGAATACTCTTAAGACTAAATTTGGCCAGATGCAGGGTTGTCTGATTTTTCAATTGCCTGTTTTCCCTCTTAATAATATTGATTTCCTTTTGTACCACACTTTTTTTCCTTTAGTATGTGGGAGCTGGATTCAAAGTTGAACTAACTTTTGACACCACTGTTGGCTTAAGGGAAGGGAAGTGGGGGAGGGGAGGGGAGGGGAGGGGAGGGGAGGGGAATGAAGTTCTTCTAATAAGGGTCAGAGAACTTTTCCCTTAAAGGGCCAGACAGGTACAGCTTTGCTCCTGTAGACATGGGCATGGCATGGGCATGGCATGGGCATGGCATGGGCATGGCATGGGCATGGGGGCTCTACCAAAACAGGCTGTGGGCCGGATTTGGCCCTGGGCTGTGGTTTGCCATCCCCCACTAATGGATTGTGTGGGTTTCAAGGGTGACATTCCCCTCTTGAGAGGTGCAGATGAATAACCTAATTTTGGATGCAGGTCTGGAAAGATGTTCCCTGGGTAGGTAGGTGTGCCAAGTTCCCTTCTGAGCTGCTTTCTGGGCCTGTTTCCTGGCTGCTCGGTGGTCAGACAGGATGTTTCCAGCACATATCAAGATTGCTCTGTGGTGTGTACCTGAGATACCTCTCGTTGTTTGTTATTGTGCTTCTCGGGTGCTGGGCTCTGCTGCCCAGGTGACCTTTCTGAACTGAAGGACTTAGTTCCCCAATGGCGGGGTGAGCTGTTGGCTGGCTGCTCACAGCTGTCAGACCTCTGGGAATTTCCCTTGCCTCACCCCAGATCACAGCCCCTTCCTGGGAGCCTCTGGACTGCTGCACGTGGAGGCACAGAGGCCTGGCCTCCCCAACCCGGGACAACCCTGTAGATCCCCCCAGCTCCACCCCTCTCTGCTGGTCAGTCAGGCCTGCATCGAGGTCAACGGCAACCCCTCCACCCCTTCCCACAGATCCTGCATGCAGCGCCCACCTCCAGGGCACCCACTTGGGACAGTGCTTCTGTACTTAGTAGTACAAGCTTCAACTCCAACTTAGGAGCCTTTTCTAATTGTTTAATGGAATGACAAACTGTGCCTATACAGTAACAGGCATAAGAAATGCAAATTAGGTAACTATTTATTCTCAATGTGAATTTGCTATTTATTCTGAATGTCGATTTTATGTGTTAGTGGCATTGAACTCAACGTCAAATAAAAGTTTGAATTGTATCGCCTGGTGTGTTGCTCAGTCATCGCTCCTCTGTACTGATGCTGACAAAGCCTTATGAGATTGTCGTGAATCCACAGCATTGTTTTCTCTTCTTGTCGGGGGAGGGTGCCAGGGACTCAACTCAGGGGCACTGGACCACTGAGCCACAACCCCAGCCCTATTATGTATTTTATTTGGAGACAGGATCTCACTGAATTGCTTAGTGCCTCACTTCACTGAGACTGACTTTGAACCCTGGATCCTCCTGGGATTACAGGCGTGTGCCACTGTACCCAGCTTATAGCGTTGTTTTCTAAACATGCCTTTTGTATAAAATTTGAGATAATCTCTAGTAAAAGAAATAGAAGAATTTTTTAAAAATTAATTTATTCTGATCAGTTATACATGATAGCAGAATGCTCTTCGATTCAAATAGAAGAATTTTTGTAGTTAAAAAAATATTCTTGGGCTGGGAATGTGGCTCAGTGGTAGAATGGTAGAGTGCTTCCCTGTGAGGGCCTGGGCTCCAGCCTCAGCACTGCGTGTGCATGCACACCACTGCCCCGCCACCATGGATCCCTACAGGGCTGTCCCTGAGAGAAGGATCAAACTTACCTTATACCTCTGGAGCTTGAAGGCTGTTCATACAAACAGGATGTGAGCGCAGCCTGGGGTGGGGCAGGAGGCTCCGCTTCTGGCCCCCAAGGAACTGCTTCCTCCAGAAGGAGGAGGAGCTGGGGGTCCACGTGCCTGTTTGTAGTCAAACATTAGGAACAGTGGAAGACGGTTTTCAGGAAAAGAAATAGGGATCAGGAGCTCGCATTAGGAAGTCAGTTCACTTATGCATTTTGGGTGAATTTGTAGATACTTTTTATGTTTTTTAAATGTGTATGTATGTGTGGGTTTAACATCTTAAAATTCTTGACCAGCTGTCCCTCTGCTTGACAGGGGGCTTCTTTTCTTTTCCTGGAATTGGGAGAGGACTCTGGGGCTTCCCGAGCCTTGGACTTGGCTCAGCAGAACCCCAGTGATGGGGAGTAAAGTTGTTGGGGTTGTGAAGGCGACAGATGTGCTCATGCCAGCCTTTCCCTCCACCCAGGTCTGCACTGTGTCCCTGGGGACAGTTTGGAGATATGTGGCAAGTAGGCTGGAGGATGCTCAGTTGTCACAGTGAGGGGAGGGCATTCTGGCTTTTCAGGGTGACATCTGGGCATTTTGAATTGTCCTAAACTTTGCACATGGTACCAAGAGCCCAGTACAGTGAAAAGCTGCCCCTGCCCACACATCCTTCAGGGTCTTGCCGACATCCGGGCACGGGGAAGCCTCTCTGTGTCTCTAATAGCCTGTTTCTAAGCTTAGACCCTTATTATGTTTTACGTGTAACCAGAAAGAATTTTTTGACATGACTTTGACATACTGAATTTTCTAGGAATGCAGCATTATATCAATCACAGAGGATTTTAGCTTTGCCATATTCAAAACCTTGTAAAGAATCATGCACAGTTTCAGAAAAGCACCCCCCCCCAAACAGTGCCACTCTTGAATTGATAGTCACACACACACCTGTTAGTCTGCATTTGTGGTCGTCATTTTAATGAGATCCTGCAGATGCACATCTGTAAGAGTAGACCTACCGTCTTAGTCCATTCAGGCTGCTATAACAAAATACCGTGGACTGGTGGCTTATGAACAGTGTATTACAGTTGCAGAGACCGGGAAGTCAGGGTGGAGGTACTGGCAGAGTTGGTGTCTGGTGAGGCCTGTTTCCTCGTTAACAGATGGTGGAGGGCCGAGGGAGCTAATCCTATCATGAGGATTCGCCCTCCTGACTCAGTCACCTCCCAAAGGCCTACTTCCCATCACCATGGGGATTAAGATGTCAAAATGTGAATTTTGGGGGAGACAAAGCATCCAGACCATTGCACTGAATTAACCCCTTTTAAAAATGCCATTTGTAAAAATATCATTATTTAAGTGGAATAGTGTCTCCTCTCAAATCTGAACTTAATTTCAGCAATTATAATATCTTCATTTTGTCTTTGTGGAATTGAACCTGAGAACTTACCAACAAAGTATTTGTTATTATAAATTACTTAGGGGACAATATATTAACTAAAGGAACATTGTTGTGTATGATGGTAGGCAGTGTTCTCTATGGATCTGGGTGTGTGGTACTAAGGCAGAGGGTGCTGTGGGTCAAAATGCAGTTTTGGAGAGCTGGCCTAAGAGGCCACCCCACAAGGATTCTTGGGGGCTTTGATGAGGCTCAGCCCACCACCATCAAATCCCCTGCATTCTTCTCCAAAGCAGAGCCCCCAGGGCACGGGAAGTAGAGGCAAATCATCACCCCTGGTCACACTCTCACATGCCTTTTCCTCTAAGGTAGTGTAGCGATTCGTAAGCCAACAGGTCCTAGTTAATGTGCCAGAGTTTCTTTGTAAGTGGTTGGCTGAGGTTGTTTTCCCCTCATTGCTACTAAAGCCAGAAGAGACTTTGGGTAGAGGCTCACAGGTTTATCCCATATCCCACATGATAGTTCCCTGGATATCAGCTCCAGCCCCTGGGGACACCATCAGCTG